CTTTTTTCGGTTTTGTTTCGGTAATCCTACGACACTACTCCCCTCGTTTTAAGCACTGCAGCATCTGGACATCTATGAGTTCCTCCACTTTCTCCCATAAGATTTTTGAAGAAAGAGATAAACTCATCTTCTATTTGGACTGGATCTGTTAGCTTAATACCATTTGCACTGTAGATGGATGCAATGTGGTTCCTGCTTGTCCTCATTTTCCATTGAGCATGAAAATATTTGGTATTTGAATCTCCACATTTAATCCAAGTAGCCCTTGACTTCTGCTGTAATACATGTTCTTTTATATGACTCCATTTTTCCAGTTCTATTAAGATTTCTTTTTCCTGATTGAACAAGCTCTGATTTAGGGGAGAATTTTTAAGTTCCCCCTGTACTATCTCTAATTTCTGTCTAGCCTGATCAAGTCTCTGCTGGTAGGAAGCCATATATTTGTTCAGGTCCTTAAGTCCACCTTTGAGTGCCTATCTCAAAGGTGTAAGGTCCCAGTTTCTTGCATCTGGGATGAAATTTGAAATTCCTGTTCTTTGCCAGCTGTGCAAGTTCTCTCTGCAGATATTCCATGGCTATGACAAATAAATAAGGGGACATTGGATCACCTTGTCGAATGCCTCTTCTTCCTTGAAATGGTTTTGTCAGTCCTCCATTCATGTTGAGGGAGTAGGTCACTGTGGTGATGCATTCCATTATCCAACTGATAAATTTATAAGGAAAACCAAGCTCCAGTAGCATTCTTTCAAGGAAGTTACAATCTGACTGTTTAATTAAAACAAAGCATTGCGATGGTCCCTGCTCAATTATATTATTACGTTTCTATCAACTTTCCGACGACACAAAGTTATGTCACCGTAAAGCAAGGGGACTATCTATATAGTGTAAAATATGCTATTTTAAGTCATTGGATAAGACGATGACACATGGAACCGAAGGCAAGGGATAGCTAAGACCGAAGACAACTGTTTCATTTGTTACCGAAAGGAATGATGCTCATAAAGATGAAATAAATGCCCGCCACCCTGTAGCATTTAATGAATAATATTCTACAAGCTTTAATATAATTGAGCATAATTTTCAAGAATATATAATGTATATTATAAATATACCTTTATTTAAATAATTATTTTTACATTATGTGCATGGAATATATATTTTACAACCTTTATTTTCTTTCATTTTGAATTGTGTAAAATAAATGTTTGAATTTTTGTTGTTAATACTAAAATTATTATTACGAACAAATTATTCTAATTATTTTTTTTACTATGCTCATTATTTTGTTATTCCAGCATTATATATGCTTAAATACTTTTTATTTTTTTAATTTATAAATAAAATTTATATATTCTATAGGAAAGTCCATAATATAAATTAAAAAGGGACAAATCATAATATTAAAAAAATTTAAAAACTAAAAAAAAGATAAATGTTTATAATTTAGAGGGTAAAATAGATATTTTGCAATCCAAAATTTGAAAAATCTAGTTGAGTGACCTTTTGAGTGCTATAGGCATAGTTCAGTGACTTTGTTGTTACAAACGAAAGAAAAGTGACTTTAGGAGATAATTTGAGATAGTTGAGTGACCATTTGAGTAATGGACTCTATATTTGGTCATGCTAATTCTTAAGTATGCCTAGTCTGACACTGTAAAAAGTTGCTAACCACACTATAAGATCAATGTGTCAACTCCTCATTGGCAAAGAATTAGTTTTGCAGGAATATATATCACAATTAACTACGTACTAGTATGGTTAAAAGAAAAGTAAAGAATGTTTCAGAAGTTATTTTACAGTATGGTAATAATAACTTCACTGGAATTACCCTCTAAAGAAACAATAAAGCCGTTAATAAGATTATGATTAAGTATGGTGTAAGTGTCAGTGTTAAGCCAAAAGGAATGAGGAAGAAAACAATATTCATGAAATTCACTTCATTTTGGCAGCTTTTCTATCTTTTCTTTAAGCTTTGCATGCCCACTTGATGAAAATTCAGAGATCTCTCTCTGCAAAAATGAACGTTACTTTGTTCTTGTGCTCCATGATTGTTCTCTTTGTAACAGTCCTCCTACATTTATTATAAAGAAAAAGGTATATATAAAACACTTACTGAATCAGAGAATATACGGTAAGATGAATTTTCTTTTGGGTTGGGCAGAGAGTTTATTTGTTTACAAATAATCATATCTTTCATGAACTTACAGATGACTCTAGTGTCTCGTGCGACGTTAAATAAGTATATAATCACTCAGTGCTCACTATTTAAAAAAATTGTTTCAACAGCTGAGACGTATGTACGACTTTAGGTTTATAACGCCATTAGCTAATTTAATAGTACTGATTCAGAAATTTCAAGTAAAACAATTACTAGTATCTAATATTGTTACCACAGTATCCGACAACAACATACTCAGTGTAATTCCACAAGTGGAGTCTGGAGAGAATAGAGCGTACGCACATCTTATCGGCTTATCCCTACCTTTAAGAAGGAAGATAGACTGTTTCAGATAGACTATTAACACAGTATACGAATTCCGCTAAAACACTTTCGATTATTAATACATCATTTAGTTTGTGACATAAGACCTCAAATAATTCGTATCTATATAACTCTTGCAATAATATATTAGCAATACTAGAATAAAACCAATTATTACTTTGATATTGCGAGCTTTTCATAAAGATGCCTTGTATTATTATTAATTCCGCATACAATTACGTACATAACATAACTATCCATTGCTACATAACTAGTTTGCGAACCAAACAACTAAGGAAAGCTTGTGGCACAAAAGGGAAGAAAGAGCAAAAGCTGCTACGAGTCGAGAGAAAAAAAAAGAGGTAGGCTTCACCGAAGTTGATTTATCAAGTCGAAGAATAATGTTAACCTCAAGCAAACAAATGAAAATCCCCTTTGTTCTTCTCCAAACCAACTTTCTTATACTAAAATTACAAAAGTAAATCTATCTTTAACAGCTCAAAAATGACAGGAAAAATGGAAATAAGTACCCCCCACCCCCCTTCAAGAAGCACACATCAAAATTTGATTATACATACAGCAGGCTTTCTCAAGCAAGATAGATAGGTCATAGGAGAGTACTCATAATCTACTTATATCAATCTCTACTGCTATCACTGTTAGCTCTCTGCTTTCTATTTGGAGATGTGTCTTCAGAAAACCTACAGCAGACCATAAGAAATCAGGACACAAATAGTACGAGGGTCTGAAATCATTCATCTTTCGAAAGAGATTAAAAGAAAAGGAAAGAAAAGAAGTTGAAACAAATGATATCTAGAGTTCAATTACGTGGCCTATTAAAGTTATAGCCTATGAGAAAGAACGCGACTACCATATTGATGAAGCCGAAAGTAGGTAAACAGAACATGTTTTATGCACTTTCATATTAATGAAGCCGAAAGTTGGTAAACAGAACTCATGTTTTGTGCACATTCTGATAAAATGTGTGCAGAAATGAGATTGCTTACAAAATTTACATATTATGCAACCATGCTTTGGAAGCTAAAAACAAAATTGGGAATGGAAAACAAGGATTGACCAGAACAACGATTTCAGAAATATCATGTAATGTGATTCAGACAATTAATTTACGGGGTAATGACTAATGACCAAATCAATTTTGGATAACTTACATCTCGATGATTCTCTTCCTCTTATCACTGCAAATGTAGGAGCTCAGTTGTTCAACCTCCATATTGGCAAAAGTCTTGTCTAGATCATAATTCAACAGATTACATGCACCTAAATTTGCTGAGGACTCGTCTGTACCAGGTATACAGGAGAGATCTTTAAGTTTCTCCATCAAAATGAAACCTGCAGAATAGACATTACAAGATACTCTAATAATGAAGTGATCAAAACTTCACCCAAAAGATGTGTGATTCATGTCATTTACATAGATTCTTTCGGCAAGTTATAACTAGTAATAACTATACTGAAAAAGACTTTAGTAGGTTAAAATCATTGGCAGAAAGAAAAGGCAAACTGAAATAACAGGTGTGAGTTTTTACAAAATATCGAGGGAATTAAAAGCTGATGCCATTAAGGCATATCTGGTAAGAAAATGTTGACTGATGGCGGTGTCCCTATCAGTTTGCACGCACCTAGATTAATTCAGTAGGTACCTGCTACATCCAACTAGCATAGGTACCAGGTAACTCTGCCACCAAAACTTAGGCAAATGGGAAGAATCACCTAGAGTTTTTTGCCTATGTTGGTTTGGACAGCTGCAGTGATGCAATGAGGGCTTCTTCTGACTTCCACTTTCCCATAGCCAAGTTAGTTGAATGCAACTAAACCCATCGACTCATATTACAAATCTTGTAAGCTATCATGCTTCAATAACGTACTAACAAATTGCATAACTATCGAAGCAGATAAGGCAAAGCTGAGAAATCATTGCACGCATCAACAAGGAATCCTCCATCAAATCAAGGATGAGAGATCCAAAAGGAGGTTCCTCCATGATCCAAATAGAGCAATACTGTCGGAATGTGTTTTTGATAAGAGTGGTAAAAGAGTCCTAGTTCCAAGTGTCTAACTTCTAGGTTCTCCTAATATTATGGTATAAATGACTTGGAAACAACAAAAGGTTATGAAAATTATGTTAATAGTATTACTATGTTCATAGATTCATTAAAATGCCAAGTTTTTATCATTTCCTCTGTAATTCCTACAAAACATTTACTCTCTCATGACGGTCTTACCCATAGACTTAACAGTTAAACAACTTCTACTCTAGTGCAACAGATAAGTATACCCAAAAAAAAGACAGAAACATTACTATTTTTAGGAGCATCTGACCACACACTCTCCCTTTTCCCAAAAGCAGCAGCTCTAAAAGATGAAACTGCCTTAGGCAAAAGGGAAGCAGAACCTAAATACCACTATACCAGTCAGAAGCTAGAATCTTCTTTCCTTATTCTACTGGCTTCGTAGCTTGCAATAGTACCGCAAAAGTTGGAAACTGCTTTCTCAGAAGGGCAGCAAAACCGAAGATAAGCTATACCAGCTGAGTGCCAAAACCTTATTTCTTTATTCTACTGGTTTCTTTCAGCAGCTCCTCATCAAATCTTTCCTTGAAAGTCCGCTCACTCGAAAAATTGATGTCGCACCAAAATTTAACTGAGAGTTACTCTTGACTATCTGTTACAGTAAGGAGAGCAGGGAACATTCATCTAATATTAGCATTCCTCTTCTTTTAATTCATAAGACTGCATACCAAACTTTTCAATCTCAAGTTAAAAAGGAGGATCTGATTCTACTCACATCAATATACCTATATGTTTTGCACTATTGTCAAAGGCAAAAAGCATAGAAAAGAGCTCAAGGCCTGATGATGCTTTAAATGAACAACACATTCAAATGGACTTCAGTAACTAAAGGCGCAATGATAAACAATCTTTAAAAAATGGAAAGCTAGAAAAAATAACTAAAAGCAAAAAACGTTTATATGAGCAAAGTAATTGAAAATACTACAACTAAGTGAAATTTATTAAGTAAAAGAACATGTAAATAAAGTGCATAAATAGATTTAAAATTTTGATTTAGATGAAAAAATAAATTTCTCATTCAGGTTTACTGACTAGTTGTCTTATATTAAATTCTTTTCCTTAATAAGTAACAAATTCATTAATAACATTTCCTCCTTAGTTAATAAATCCCTTTGTTGGTTATATTTATTATTTAGGACAGTTCTCTTTAGGACAGTTATCTTAAAGATAGAGCGCATGGATGATGAGGCACGTGCCTTAACACCTTGATACCTGCATTAGTACGCTATCTGAGTGAAACAAAGCGGCCCCCTTGAGCTTCACCTAGCTTTAGGGCTTAACCGCGCCTCAAATGAACCTTAATAATACCGATGTTTTCAGTCTATCAAGCTTTTGAAATCAGTCTATTTAACATTTCCCATTTACACACAATAAAAGCCCTCATTTCCAAATTGATTTGTCACTTTCAGTTTCTACAAAAACGTGGTTTTGCTTTCAGCCTTCTGATTTTTTGGCATCCTCCTCTTAAGAGGGTATAAAAAATAAAAATAAAGGGTCCTATGTCAGCACCTTCTTATGGTTCAAAGGGAAATGGTGTTGAAAGAAATTCTTTTTAATTTCATAAGTGGAAATGAGACAGATAGCTATTCTTTTTACAGTTGGATTTAAGCTGTAACCATTTGTTCATATGAAAGAAGTGTAATAGCATATTCCAGTGTTACCACATTAAACAAATAAACAGGTATTCTCAATTTCAAAACATGTGTTGCTTCACATCACTGTCAAACACCCAATTTTAGCTAGAATGAAATAATAACCATCTACTTATCTGTTACGAGAGAATTAAGGCGCTCGTTGGCGGGAGTAGCAATCAAAGCTCAAAGGATCACACCTAGCCTTTGGGCAACTCCGAACTGAAGATATCTTTTTAGAATTTCTATAAATTACTTTGTGAAGCGGCGACTGAATGGATGCACTACCTCACACAGTCACACTTAATTAGTTACTCTTTGAGGCAGTCACTTGACTCCATTAAATCTGCATAAAAGACAGGCTCTTTCCATCAAACGAGGTCCAGATTATCCAGCTCTTAGCAGACATTTTGGGGTGTAATATTGGGACTCTTCCTACCACCTACTTGGGGCTTCCCTTGGGGCATAAGCACAAATCAATTATGGGATGGTTTTCTGGAAAAATGTGAAAGAAAGTTGTCAAATTGTAAAAGGCAGTATCGCTCCGTGGTGGTAGATTAATCCTCATAAACAGTGTTTTGGATTCACTTCCTACTTACACAATGTCACTTTTTCCTCTCCCTTCCTCAGTTGCAAAGAAGATTTACAAGATGCGACGAAATTTCCTATGGGAAGGAAACATAAACAATAAATCATCTACTTTTTGGTATACCTCTTGTATACGGGCTCTGTTATGCCCAAACTCATTCAATGAAATTATTACTTTATCGACAAAAAAAAAAAACAGAGACAAATAAATCAGTCAATCTAGTCAATTAGGATTCAGTTTTGAAAGATAAAAAGGTGTTAGGCCTAGAGGTAGGGACTTGAAAAAGCGCAATGTTAGTCTACCAAATGGCTACGGAGGTTAACCAAGGAGGATGGTGGCATGTGCAATCAGTGGATAACAAAGATGCCTAATTTTTGTATGGACACTCAGTTTGGAAAAGTATCAGGACTCTTTGGGATGCTTTTGGCATGATCCTTTTTTGTTTTTTGATGGAAGTTTTTGGTATGATTCTTGGTTGGGTTACACACCTTCAAAACAAAGTTACCCTGTTCTATATACATTGGCAGCCCACCAGGAAGCCTCAGTTGCAGATTATCACTCAAACAATAGTTGGAATATCACTTTCAGAAGACTTTGCAGAAACTGGGAAGTAGAAAGAACATGTGCTCTACTACAACAACTAAGAACCTACCGTATATGCTTGTAAAATCAGGATACCATTTGTTGGAAGGGCAAGAAGAATGGTATGTTCACAGTCAGATCTTGTTACTCACTCTAGCAGAATTCACATACTACTACTCTCAAGTGGCCTTAGAAACAGATTTGTCAAAATAAAGCCCCTCACAAGGTACAGTGCTTCACTTGGATAGAAAAAAAATGCATGCTTGACAAAGTCAAATCTACAAAAAAGAGGACTGAACGTTTGTAGTAGATTGAGTAGATATATTGACAAACCACCTTTTTATTTGCATTGCAAGCTTACTACACAATTGTGGGACATGTTTTTAACTTTTTTGAGTTTAAAGTGGGACTATGCCAAGAGACATACTGGAATTTTTACAAGGTTGGCAAAGCAGGGATCTAAGGGATGTTCGCTCAAGCATCTGGGATACAATTTCAATAATATTTGAAAACAAAAAGGGAAATATATCTAGTCTTAATTTCAATTTTCTTTTTCCTTTCTTTTTGGAGTAACATGGCTAATGTACATGAGGGTGACAAAGTAGAAGCCATAGTTGGTTTTATTAGCTCTCTTCACAATCTGCGAGAGCAACTTTTGATGTATCAATTGTCTAGAGCAGCATACTGTTGATGCTGACTCATATATATACAACTTTACCTTACTTATAAAAGAAACGAATTTCTACAAAATTAAATAGAACTTCCCCTCGCCCATATGTCAGCTCACACTTGTTTTGACCATTCCAGATTCTTCATTTGTTCTGCTAAATTTGTTAAAAGGTATTATGCAGATGCAAGACAAAAAGCTATTGCTCTCTTCTCTAATTCCCTCTTCTTCTCTACTCTTCTTATTCTTCCTTCAGTTCTTTACTTACTTTAATTGTGCAAGTTTTTTGCGATCAAGCTAAGTGTTACAAGTTGGTATCAGAGGATTGATCCATTAACAACCCTCGCAGATAATCATAAACTCTAAGGGAATTAAAGATACCATGAATAAATTTGAAACCCCAAATTTAATCCTTTGCAACACAGAGCTCTAGGAGGTTTGAGATGATCATTTTGACCCAAAGTCAACTTGCTACTCTCATGCAAGAGAATAATGGCATAAATCTGAAGTTGGAAAGAATATCACTCATACCAGTTAATAAGGAGATGTTTCGAAAGATTATCACTCAACTGACCTCCAACAGAAACGCGGAATATCTTCATTAGTAAGGTCCTACCATTTGTGGCTCAAGGACAACTAGTGGGAGCAGATATTGGGTAATCCTCCAGCTCAGGTGTTGCAAAGGTAACTCCTCCTGTACACATCTCTTACTATGACAATTGAGAGTTATCTATCCCCTTGTCCCTCACTTTGAAACACCCAATCCACCTTTTATCTATATTCACCCCCTACTATATCAGCCCTACCAAGTCGCCCCTTCCCCACAGAAGCTCCTAAAAGCAAAGCTTAACTTTGCTGAGTTTGATGCCATCAATCCAAGGGCTAAATTAGAAGGTGCATAAAATATTTCAAAAGCTATCAAGTTCCCCAATAAATGAAATTGAATTTAACTATTAAGCATGTAATGCATGCAGTTAATTACTGATTTAATAGGTATCTAATGGATCACGGAGGATCGTAGGCCAGTGTTCTATGCACATTTACGTAGAAGGATTAGCAATATTATAGATAAGTTCAATAAACTTCAGAAATGTCGAGATGTAGATTGTTATCAGGATCAATTGCAGGAGTTGCAATTGTTACGATGATCATGATTTACCTCCATCTTGAACTCTATTTTGTCATTTGCTTTGTCAATGGGTAGAAACAAGAGCTTAAGTCTCTAGTGAGGATAGCCAATCCTACCAACTTCATGGATGCTTATGAAGTAGCCCAATGATATAACGAGTCCATTAAAGCTCTTCACAAATAAACCTCTTTCAAGCCATCTCCATCACGTCCTAAGCCATATTAGAACCCTTTGAATATGTCATCTCACAGTTGTTTTGATGAATAAAAAACTGAATTCCCTTCTCTCTAATTCCTTCTTCTTATCTACTCTTCTCATTCTTCTTTCCTCTCCTTCTGTTATTTACTTACTCTAGCTTTGCAAATTTTACATATCAAGCTCAAGGATAACATAAAAAACCCTTCTTCTTTTTTTAGAAAGAGAAGTTACCATCAATCTCAAGGAAAATACTAACAGATAAAGAATTCACAAATCTACAGCAAATACCAATTTATTCACTAATTTATAGATGGTGCAACCTATAAATAAAGTCACATAAATGTTACATATTTCTGGAAAGGAAGAAGAAAGAACTCACTAAGGGCTCGGAGGGTCTTCAAATCAAACTTGTTTGCTAAAGACTCATGACCAATCTTTTTGGCACGTTGCTGTATCAACACTTTCAGACCTATCAATAAATCCTAAAAATTCAACCAAACCACACCTAAGACATTGGTCCTCATAAAAAAAAGGATAAAGGAAAGGAGAGAAACTTACAATCTCAGACTCTGTTAAGGAACAAAGCCATCTAACATCTTCAATCCTATTATTCCCTAAGATAGCCCTCAGGTCTTTCATCTTTCTCTGGCGGCGCAGTTGACGGGCACCTGATGCGGAGAGGTAAAACCTTTTAGGTGTCGTTTGTAGTATTCTTTTATTTTATTTATGGGAGGGTGGGATAACTAATCCGGAATAACTAATTTCGGAATAATAAATTATGAGATAAATTATTTCACAGCCAAACGACCTGTTAGAGCATTATTTTGAGGGTGTAAGGGTTTTTAATTTATTTATATAGTTTCTATTTCATGGGTCTGCAAAGCCCACTTGAGTGGCAATTGGCTAAGGACAAAATTTGCTCCATTCAGGTGGGTGTATATATCAAAGCGACTAGTTTCCATGATTAATGATAAATAGAAGTATGAACACATATCACAATGATAAATCCTTGACAAAGAACATATATTATGCAGGAAGTTTTTCTATTGGGCTTCGGCTTGTGTATTTGAACAAACAAACTAATTTGAATTGTAACATCTTTTGCTATTGAATTGTGCTTGAGACTGTAAGGATGTGAAGTTTAATAGGAGAAACGGGGGTAAAAAATTGAACGGAAAGGAGAAATATGATTTTTTTCTTTCACATGGACAACATGGTAGTTAAAAATGTCTAACTAGATATTTCTGTAATTTGAAGTTGTTATATTATAGTTAAGAAGGAGGAGCCTTGGCGTAACTGGTAAAGTTATTGCCATGTGACCAGAAGGTTACGGGTTCGAGCCGTGGAAACAGCCCCGGCTGCGTACAATAGACCCTTATGGTCCGGCCCTTCTCCGGACCCCGCGCATAGCGGGAGCTTAGNNCCCCCCCCCCCCAAGGCGTCCAAAAGATTTAGGCCCCAAGAATCTCGTTACACAATATGAAATAGTTCTGTAGTCCGCCTACAATTTTTCAAGCTTAGAAGTTTCTTTTATGATAAAAGTTTTATCTGATTATACATTGATTCAAATTTTAAACTATTTTGTAAATGAGTGTTGACAAGTACTGAAGCAAAAACTTGAAATAAAAAAGCTCTTTCATGGATTGCATGTGCCGATAAAATTTAAATATGTCAACTAAGATATGGATCTGGTTAAACTCAGCATACATATTAGGAAAACTTTATTGTAAAATTGATGAATAACTTTGTAGCTCAAGAAGCTAGAGAATAAGTTTCAAATTGAAATACATATAATTATTATCAAATAACTTTAAAGCCTCTACTTAAGGTTTGGCTTTAGCCCCCCGCCCCAAACCAATCCTTATATTCACGAATATCTGACGATATATTCACTGAGAAAGTAGTCCTTATGTATCTCTGAATAATCATAACAGGTCCTTACTGTTTGCAAATAGTGGACATCCTTTGTCCAAGTCAAAATTAAAAGTGAAAAAAAGAAGATTTAAAACCCAAAACTAACTGAAGAAGCTAAAAAGGGTATATATATATATGGGCCTAGGTGGGCCTGACCATTTTTTTTTAAATTTTTTTTTGTTTAAGGTAATTTCTTGTAAATTATATTATATAATTGTGACTTAAATTTTTTAATTCAAATTTAAACACAAAAAATATTGTAAAGAGATATTCAAAGGAATGCGTTATAATTTTTATTATTATGATATTAACAAAACATGGCAATATCTTTCTTAGTCTTTCTCCCCCAATGGAATGAGCACAACAAGGTGCTAATTCCACCATTGAGAAGAAAAAGAAACTAATCAAGATGTGCCAAAATAACCACAACTCATCCGCTGATTCTTCAACATCAGTCGGTTCGGACCTCCACTTAGTTTCACCCAAGCTTCATCCTGGTCATGGATAGATAGTAGATAGTAGGTATTGTAACCTTGATAGGACAGATCTATCGATATTCTATGCTTGAATAGTAATGGAAAAGCTTGGAGTAAAGGAAGATTCCGATAAAGGAGTGAGTTAAGATAGCCATAGCTATAGTTGCGCCTCAACGCATTTCGGGGAGAACCAGCTAGCTATGGGTTCGAGTGGCATTTCACCCCTAACCACAACTCATCCGCTGATTCTTCAAGATCCTGTTCATGGATTAACGAAAATGTGCAAAAGCTCTATTTGCCTCTGCCATTCTATGAGTCTCTTCCTTTTTGCGTATGGCATCGCCACTCCCGTACGTAGAGATCTTCGTGGGACCGTGGAGGGAGTCTCAATCGATCTTTTCTAGGATTCCTTATCACGCCACACATGGAGATCTTTCCATTGATAGATCAGAGGGTCCCCCCTTGAAAAAATTCTTAAAGGTTAGGTTACTACCTGCTTCTACGGAAGAGGTTTACTTTGTCTTCAAGCATCCGAAATACGCCGGGATTGAAAATGACATAGCGTTCCTGATAGAAAATGACGACTCCTTCAGAAAAACAAACTTATTCAAGTTCTTTTTCCCAAAGAAGCGGCCACCAGCTTTCCCAAAATAAGGGGAGATCTGCTGCTTACTGCTCACGGAAACATCCGACCTATACTATAGTCAAGTCGTTCGCCTATCTTTCTGATCTCCTTTCCTTCTATTCCCCCTCTACTTTATTTGACAGGGGCGGAGAATACCACTCTATCAATAACAAGAAAAAAGTAGCAATTCTGCAAGTTACATATTAATTTTACATGGTATCTCTTACAAATTTCATAAATCCTTCAAGGTTCGGAGGAATTTCCTTTGGTGGTAGCGGAAAAGAAGTTTGTTTATCACCGCTTCCGGGCAAAGCTGCATCCTCCGCAAGTTCAACTAGCATTCTTCGTAAGCTTTGTCTATGTCACGACCCTAAAACGGACCCGGTCGTTATGGCGCCTATCGTGAAACTAGGCCAGCCGACACAAACCCCAAAACCAACCCAACAATTATAATAAGTCATTTAAAAGTCATTAATAAGCTAAAATCCCAAAATGAAAGGTAGAATAGAACAGTGCGGAAACAAAACACAGCCCGACATCGGGGTGTCACCAGTCATGAGCAACTACAACTCGTCTAGAAACATGAAAAGACAACATAGTCTAAAACAAAGCTAATACAAAGCGGAATAAAAAAAGGAAGGAGAATCACTGGGCTGCGAACGCCAAGCAGCTACCTAGTCAACTCCGAAAGCCTGCTGGAAGACAAATCAGCACTCGTTAGCGTGACCCGAGACTCCCGGATCTGCACACAAGGTGCAAGGAGTAATGTAAGTACACCAACTCAGTAAGTAATAAAAGTAAAAACAACTAAGCAGTAAGAAAACACGCAAGCCACGTCATAATGCTACAGCAAAAAAGTATAAATCCAGAACAATGCAATAAAAACAATGAAACTCGTGAAAACGACTCAGTTCAATAAAATCCTTTTAAAAACTTCCTTCAATAGTTTCAAACGAGTGACGAAAAACAGTGAGTAAAAGAATAGAAACGTAAACAGCCCCTCGGGCAAAATACCAGCAGAAACCAGCCCCTCGGGCTACCTCACAGCCACTCGTAATCAGCCCCTCGGGCAACAACAAGAAACAACAACAGCCCCTCGGGCAATATCACATCTCACACTGGGTACACACGCTCACTAGGGGTGTGCAGACTCCGGAGGGGCTCCTACAGCCCAAGCGCTATAAACAAGCCATCTCGTGGCATAAAAAATCAGGCCCCTAGCCTCTCATATATCACAAATCAGTATAATGCGCTGCGGCGCGCAGCCCGATCCCATAACATCTTCACAACACATACCCTCGGCCTCTCTCAGTCAGAACTCACTCAAGCCCCTCGGGCAACAGTAAAACATGATGCTCAGCCCAAAATATCATTTAAAATATTAAAACAGAGTAAATACGGCTGAGTTATGAAAAACAGTAGACTACAACATGACTGAGAATAAGTATGAAGTCAAAACAGTGAGGAATAATAGTAAAAAGCCCCTAAGGGTCCAAAACAGTCGGCACGAGGCCCAAACACGGCATTCAGCCCAAAAAATAGTAATAATTTCCAAAATATAATAATAACAAATAGTTTCCAATTAAATATACGCGACTTAATAGTCGTACGGGATGGACCAAGTCACAACCCCCAACGGTGCACGACCCCACGCTCGTCATCTAGCGTGTGCGTCACCTCAATCTAGCACAACGATGTGATATCCGGGGTTTCATACCTTCAAGACAACATTTACAATCATTACTTACCTCAATCCGGTCCAAATACTAGTCCGCAATGCCCTTGCCTCTCGTATCGGCCTCCGAATGCTCCAAATCTATCCAAAAACCAGAATACTCATCAATATACGCTAAAGGAACAAAACCCACTCGAAAATAACCAATTTACACCAAGAATCCCGAAATTGACCAAACCTGACCCCCGGGCCCACGTCTCGAAATCTATCAAAAGTCACATCAATAGAATCCTTACACTCTCACGAGTTCGTACAAATCAAATATACCAAAATCCGACCATAAACGACCCCTGAAATCCCTAATCAAAGGTCTCCAATTTCAAGCCCTAGTTCCTCAATTTCAACCACTAATTTCCATAAATTTCAAGCTTAAACAGGTAAAAACCGACATAGAAACAAGTTTAAGGACCGAAAAGCTTACCTCCGCGAAATCCTCTTGAATTCCCTCTTCAATTTGCTCTCCCAAGCTCAAACCCGTATGAAAAATGGTGAAAAACCACTCAAAAAACGCGAAGGGCTAAATTTATATATTCTGCCTCAGCTAAACCGCTTCTGCGGTCGAATTCTCTCACCTGCGGACCCTCACCTGCGGTCCCAGGTGCGCATATGCGGAATCCACATAACCGCTCAAGGACCGCACCTGCGATCAAAATCTCGCACCTGCGCCATCGCAGGTGCGCTCGAACATCCGCTTCTGTGGTTCCAGCTCCTCTCGCCCAGTTCCGCATCTGCGACCCTCCTTGTGCTTCTGTGGGCCCGCACCTGCGGTCCCCAAGCCGCAAGGGCGGTTATGACAGGAACTTCAGCAGCTTCAGCTGCAAGTTTCTAACTCCAAACTTCCCTCAACCACCTGAAATCATCCCGAGGCTCCCGGGACCTCAACCAAAAGTACGGACAAGTCATGTACCACTATCCAAACTTATATCAATCTAGAAACACCTAAAACAACGTCAAATCAACAAAATAACATCGGATTCAAGCCTAAGGTTTCCAAAAAACTTCCAAATTCCGCTTTCGATCAAAAAGTCTATCAAACCTCGTCCGAATGACCTGAAATTTTGCACACACATCCCATATGACACAACGGACCTACTGCAACTCCCAGAATTCCATTTCAACCCCGATATCAAAATTTCCACTATCAACCAGAAAAATGCCAAAAATTCATTTTCGCCAATTCAAGCCTAAATCTACTCCGGACCTCCAAAAGACATTCCGATCACGCTCCTAAGTCCGAAATCACCTCCCGAAGCTTTCCGAATCATAAAAACCAAATTTCGAGATCGTTTTCGCACAAGTCAACTTCCGGTTGACTTTTCCAACTAAAAGACCAACTTAAGAGACTAAGTGTCTCAGACCTTTCCAAAACCATCCCGAATTCGATCCGACTAACCCGATACCATATAACAGAGATAAACAAAGCATAAAGAAGCAGAAATGGGGGAAACAGAGTTGTAACTCATGAAACGACCGGCCAAGTCGTTACATCCTCCCCCTCTTAAACAAACGTTCGTCCTCGAATGAGTCAAGAAACATACCTGAAGCCTCAAAAAGGTGAGGATTTCTGCTCCGCATCTCCCGCTCGGTCTCCCAGGTAGCCTCCTCCACGGTCCGACCTCTCCACTGCACTTTCACTGAAGCTATATCCTTTGATCTCAACTTTCGGACCTGACGCTCCAAAATAGTTGTTGGCTCCACATCATAGGTCAAATCACCCTCTAACTGAACCGTGCTGAAATCCAGAACATGAGACGGATCCCCAGTATACTTCCGGAGCATGGAAACATGAAATACCGGATGCACACTCGACAAGTTGGGTGGCAAAGCAAGCTCATAAGCCACCTCCATAATCCTTCGAAGCACCTCAAAAGGCCCAATGAACCGAGTACTCAATTTACCCTTCTTCCCAAATCTCATAACACCCTTCATGGGTGAAACCTTTAGTAGAACCTTCTCCCCAACAATATAGGACATATCACAAACCTTCCTGTCAGCATAACTCTTTTGTCTCGACTGCGGTGTACGAAGCCTCTCCTGAATCACCTTCACCTTGTCCAAAGCATCCTGTACTAAGTCCGTGCCCAAAAGCCTGGCCTCACCCGGCTCGAACCATCTAACTAGAGATCTACACCGCCTCCCAAATAGAGCCTCATATGGAGCCATCTGAATACTCGACTGGTAGCTGTTGTTATAAGCAAACTCCGCGAGAAGTAGAAACTGATCCCATGAACCACCTAAGTCAATCACACAAGCGCACAACATGTCCTCCAATATCTGAATAGTACGCTCGGACTGCCCGTCCGTCTGATGGCGAAAAGATGTGCTCAAGTCAACCTGAGTACCCAACTCTCTCTGCACGGCCCTCCAAAACTGCAAAGTGAACTGAGTGCCTCTATCCGAAATGATGGAAGCTGGGGCACCATGCAAGCGAACAATCTCCCGGATATAGATCTCTGCCAACCGCTCCGAAGAATAGGTAGTACAAACAGGAATGAAGTGCGCGGACTTGGTCAGCCGATCCACAATAACCCAAATATCATCGAACTTCTTCAAAGTCCGTGGGAGCCTAACTACAAAGTCCATGGTGATCCGCGCCCACTTCCACTCTGGAATATCCATCTACTGAAGCAAGCCACCCGGTCTCCGATGCTCATATTTCACCTGCCGACAATTAAGACACCGAGCCACAAATCCCACAATGTCTTTCTTCATCCTCCTCCACCACTAATGCTGTATCAGATCCTGATACATTTTCGCGGCACCCGAATGAATGGAATACTGCGAGCTATGGGCCTCCTCCACAATCAACTCCCGAAGTCCATCCACATTGGGCACACATACCCGGCCCTGCATCCTCAACACCCCATCATCACCAATGGTCACATCTTTGGCATCATTGTGCTGAACTCTGTCCTTAAGGACAAGAAAGTGAGGATCATCATATTGGCGCTCCCTGATGCGATCAAACAAGGAAGACCGAGAAATCACACAAGCTAATACCCGACTGGGCTCCGAAATATCCAACCTCACGAACTGATTGGCCAAGGACTGAGCATCAACTGCAAGAGGTCTCTCCCCAACAGGAATAAATGCAAGACTGCCCGTACTCACCACCTTCCGGCTCAAAGCATCGGCCATTACATTGGCCTTCCCCGGATGGTACAAAATAGTAATATCATAGTCCTTTAGCAGATCCAACCATCTCCACTGCCTCAAATTGAGATCCTTCTGTTTGAATAAGTTCTGGAGGCTGCGATGATCAGTAAATACCTCACAAGACACACCATACAAATAATGCCTCCAAATCTTCAACGCGTGAACAATGGCAGCCAACTCCAAATCATGAACAGGGTAGTTTTTCTCATGGGGCTTCAACTGACGAGAAGCATAAGCAATAACCCTACCCTCCTACATCAACACACATCCATTACCCACTCTCGAAGCATCACAATACGCTGTATATGAATCTGAAGCTGATGGCAAAACTAACACTGGAGTCGTGGTCAAGGCAGTCTTGAGCTTCTGAAAGCTCGCCTCACACTCATCCGACCACTGGAATGGACCACCCTTCTGAGTCAACTTGGTCAAGGGTGACACAATAGATGAAAATCCCTGAACGAACCAACAGTAATAACCCGCCAATCCAAGAAAACTGCAAATCTCTGTGGCTGAGGACGGTCTGGGCCAACTCTTAACCGCCTCTATCTTCTTTGAATCAACCTGAATACCCTCACTGGACACCACGTGCCCCAAGAAAGCCACCGACTTGAGCCAAAATTCACATTTGGAGAACTTTGCGTAAAGCTTCTCCTCCTTCAATCTCTGCAACACAACTCTCAAATGCTCCGCGTGCTCCTCCTGACTACGCGAGTATACCAGAATATAATCAATGAAAACAATAACGAACGAGTCGAGATAAGGACGGAACACGTTGTTCATCAAATGCATGAACGCTACTGGGGCATTAGTCAGCCCAAAAGACATCACAAGGAACTCATAATGACCATATCGGGTCCTGAAAGCTGTCTTAAGAATATCCGAGTCCCTGATCTTCAACTGGTGATACCCTAAACGGAGATCAATCTTGGAGAACACCCTCGCTCCTTGAAGCTCACTACAACAAAAACAAGCATTAGCGGCAATAAAAAAGACCTTTAGCGGCAATAGATATTTCCACTACAACATTTACCGGCCATTAACTTTTCGCCGTTGAACTTGGGGTCGCTAAAGCTTTTCACAAAGTGTTGGTAAAGATTATTTTTATTGCCGCTAAAAGTCACGGCCTTTAACGACAATTGTACAGCGGCAATTATAATGGCTGCTATATTTATTTAAAAAATGGCTTAGTTTGCACTTTTCACATCCATTTTTATTGCCGGTAAATTCAATAACATTACCGCTAAGTAGGTCGCAATCTTTAATTACAAACATTTAGCTGCAATTATAATGGATACTAATTCCATCCTAAAAATGATTGCTTCAACTTTTAGTATCTCTTTTTGTACAGTAAGCCCAATTAAATTGTCAATAAAAGGTGATCTTTTAAGCGACAAATCAGAAGATACAATTTATTGCCGTTAAAACTATGTTCAAACCGCATATGCTAATAAAACATTTAACTATGAATTATAAAAACTCAACATATTTCATTAAATCTACACTAACAAAAACAATTACTAATCCATAATATTAATGTATCAACGACATAAAAGATAAAATTACATTGGTTTGAAGTAAATAACTAGTGTCGTTATAACTAATCATATCGAACACCCACAATAAAAAAAATGATAAATGCATAACCCTCACAATTTCTACAACTCTTCATCGTATGATATCTTCCACAAACTAAATTTTTGGACATAGCACTGTACGACCTGAAATAATAGAATAAGCAAATGATCAAAAGGTGAAATCTGATTTAAAAAGAATTGTAAGTTGACATCTTAATATATTCTGAAAGTATCTCTACAGGACCACTTAACTCATATTCAGAGGCATAAGTTTTCTTGGTTTATAGTTCTTCTAACTGCAAATGATTCAAAAAATCTCACTCCTAAATATTACCTTAATCTTGGACTCAATTACTTGTGGAGCGACAAGAGACTTCATATTTATCAGGCGCATAGAACTAAAGGCTTCAGCTCATGATCTCTTTTCCTGAGATTTTTATTAATGTACTGAGTATATTATAAAAGAGCACAACCATGATTCGAGATGATAAAATTACTTCAAGATCAAGACGAAAAGTTCAACCACCAGTAGCACTAATATTGTTAATTTTGTTCTCTCTTTTACTTTATGAAAAAGAAACTCTAGTATGGTTAGAAAACAAATTCACATATTTCTGCTGCACAAAACTAGAATTGGCGAGGAATTCAAGAATTTCATTTGTCAACTTATCCACCTTGATTCATATAACTCACGGCATAATAGAAAGAACATTGCACCTAGAAAATGAACATGTCCAATAGATCAATATTGTAGTCAATCCTCCTGCTGAGATTTCGCTCACGATTGCCCACTATTGCATTTTTTAAGATTTAGTCAATTAATTTGAAAATACAAAAAGATAAAGTATAATATGGTATATGACTTAAAATTATGAATATGAAGCTAGAAGGTGAATTCAATATGATCTTACATTTTCAGTGCTATGCATTTCTTTCCTCCATAAATATTCCATAACTGCTTTAATATTCTTGCCCTTCTAAGAAGAAGCTTGTTATCCTCATCCGCATTTGGCAATTCTAAGCAGAAAAGGGCATTACGATATTAATCGCCAAATTCTGAATGGTATATATATATAGAGAGAGAGGAAGAATCATGTAAATTATCCAAGTTTATTGCACATAATGGAAATAATATGGTATAGTCCCAGTATTAAGCATCATTATAAAAAAAACTCCATCATCACTCTGTTACACTCTTATTATTAATGGATGCTTTATACCTGAATTTCTACATTGCTTGAAGATATATTTACCTTTTCGGTTGATACTCCAACGAGTTATAGGCATAACTGAAATTCTTTCATCCTTTAAGAGATTATTGGGAGCCACCAATCTATTGTTTGATCATCATCTTGTTCTTCTTCTTCAGTTACATGTGCTTCATTACTAGTTTTCTCCTTCGTCGACCACAATTCAGTCTACTAGAGTTGGCTTCAGTTGATGATTTCGGGGGCATGTAGGCGGAGAAAGGCTGGGAAACTACAAGGTCTCGTAGGAAAAAGACAAAACGTAGGTAGAGCTGGTGATTATTTATGTAATAAAAATAACTTGTGGAGAACAAGACATAGATATAGACTGTCAAAGAATCTGATAAAGAAAATGATCACAGCAAAATCGAGAATATAGAAAAGATTAAATTGTTATGACGGTTTTTAGATAGTCATAGATTATTTTTCCTGTCATTCAGTAAATATTAGTGTTCAATTAAGTCTTAAGCAAACTGTCTTTCTATCTCCTAAACTTCTTAGGCAGGTTTTTATGAGTTTCGCTCGTCTCTCTTGCCAACATGGGTGATTTTACAGAAAAACCAGAATTAAATAACTTTTATTGCCAATCGCCAACTGAAAATTCAAAATTCTAATGCTATTGAATAATGCAAGATGAAATCAGCACTTCACTTTGTCTAAAAATTGTAATGTTAGAAAAGGTGCCTAATTACAAATATAGTTAGTATGCTTGTTTTCTTATCATTTTTGGTTGGTTAAAATTACAAGCATTTCTTCTGAGGTTGCACTTGCTAGATGTTCAATTAGGTTTAATTTTCTTAGCTTCAGGTACACAACCGTGGTCCTACGCTGAATATTACATCCACATAATTAGTGACATGCTCGCTTTAAAGCTACAGGTTTGGGACATTATTTGCAAAATAATATTATAGGAAAATTTATCACATTGCACACTTAGGAGATCACACCCCAAAAAAAGAAAAAAGAAAAAGATCGAATCTCAGGAAAGAACAGTGGTAGTTCTTCAGATTTATTATTTGTAATAGTAAGAACTTAAGGTTCTTCTATGGAGATGAACATAGTTTTCTTAGTTATACCTGGGCTTAATATGTTAAGTCTCTTGCAACACCCCTATTTTCTCGTACTTGAAAAATGCTTATCACATCAGAAAACTAAACGCACTTTTTGCTTCTATTATTCTTTCTCCTAGCAACCAAATATATTTGTTTGCCCGATTACATGGTAGACTAAAGTAAACTCAACCAAAGAGATTATTCAAATTAGGAAAACAAATTAACAGAAGGAGAAAGAAAAGGTTGGAATGCGAAGATTAACAAATCTTCTGAAATGCACAAATAAAATGGAAAACAAGAGTCGGGAGCCTCCAAAAGCATTTCACCGAACATCTGGAATGTAAAAATACATTTTCCTGATTAATAGCAGTAGAAAGTAAAATTACACATATGAAATTGACTCGCATAATCTGTTCTCCATCAGAGATCACAATACTTAGCAAACCACCAAATTTTTTTAATTTTGGAAGACACACCTCTCAAATCTCAAATCTGGGGATGGGGAATCCATTGTCAGCAATAAATGGGAAGGGCGTAGATAGATTCTCACACACACGCACATACAGAGAAAGAGATAGAGAGAGAAGATTGGGTTACCTAGTTATGGTTGCCGGCGACAGAGAGATAGAGATAACTTGGGCAGCGGCGAGTTGGGCAGCAGGCGTGAGTGGTTAAGAGAGCTTATCTCAAAAAATTAAGTAGTTCGATTTGTAGAGAAAAAGAACTGGGAGGGAATAGGTAATTTTGGTAAAGTTTAAGGGAAAAAGAATAGTATAAAGATTGCTTTGAACTTAGTAGCTTTTAATGGTCATTCTTTTTTAATATCGGTAAAATGGTAGGCATTTACTGGCTAATATTTATGTGCCACAAATGTTTTAGCCTAAAGAATAAATTAGTGGCAATTGACTTATTGCCGCAAAATAATTGTCGGTAAAAGTCCTTTTTGTTGTAGTGGTTGGTCGAACAAATCATCAATGCGAGACAGGGGATACTTGTTCTTAATTGTAACCTTGTTCAACTGTCTGTAATCAATGCACATCCTCATAGTGCCATCCTTCTTCTTCACGAATAGAACAGGCTCACCCCACGTCGAAACACTAGGCCGAATGAACCCCTTATCAAGGAGTTCCTGAAGCTGCACCTTCAACTGTTTCAATTCTGTTGGTGCCATACGATACGGTGGAATAGAGATGGGCTGAGTGACTGGCACCAGGTAAATACCAAAATCAATGTCCCTGTCCGGGGGCATGTCCGGCAGGTCTGCAGGGAACACATCGGGAAAATCCCTCACAACCAAAACAATCAATACTAGGAGCCTCTGCACTGACATCCCTCACGAAAGCTAAGTATGAAAGACAACCTTTCCCAACCATCCGCTGGGCCTTCAAGAACGAAATCACCCTACTGGGGACAAAATCAATCAAACCTCGCCACTCAATCCGGGGCACACCTGGTATAGCCAACATCACTGTCTTAGCATGACAGTCCAGAATAGCACGACACGGGGATAACCAATCCATGCCCAAAATCATATCGAAATCCACCATACAGAGTAACAAAAGATCCACTCGGGTCTCGAGACCCCCAATGGTCACCACACACGACTGGTACACACGGTCCACAATAATAGTATCTCCCACCGGAGTAGATACACGAACATATGAAACAAGAGACTCACGGGCGTATCCAAATAATGGACAAAATATGATGATACATATAAAAAAATGGAACCATGATCAAATAACACAGAGCATCTCTGCGACAGACTGAGACAATACCTGTAATCATCGTATCTGAAGCAATAGCATCAAGACTAGCTAGGAGTGCATAGAAATGGGCCTGACCACTACCTGATCGACCTCCCCCTCTAGGACGACCCCTAGATGACTATCCTCCACCCCTAGCTGGCGGGGCGGGTGGTGAAGTAACTGGTGCTGAAGTCGAGGGCTGACTCCTCTGCTGAGATGAACCCCCAAGACGACGAGGACACTGCCTCCACATATGTCCCAACTCCCCACACTCATAACAACTCCCTAGTGCTGGAGACGGGGACCGAAAGGAACCCCTAGCACCGGGATGACTAGCCGAAGAACCTGGCATAGAAGAGCTCTGAACTGATGGAGCACGGACAAACTCTAAGCTGGAAGGGCACTGAGTGAGGAATGACCCTGCTGAGAACTGTGAAAACCATGGCCCGATGATGCCCCACGATAACCTGGGCGAGCTAACTGAGCATGCCTGAATGGGTGGCCTCTGCCGTGTTGAAACTGACCTCTCGAAGGAGCACCCCCAAAACTACCAGATCCCCGAGACCTCTTGGCCTCCCTCTCCTCTCGCTCTTGGAGACGAACTGAATCAATTTCACGAGCGATATCAACAACCTCTTCAAAAGTATCACCTGACACCCTCTCCCGGGTCATGAGAATCCGAAGCTGATATGTGAGGCCATCAACGAACCTTCTGATCCTCTCTCTATCCGTAGAAACCAATCAAATAGCATGACGAGCTAACTCTGAGAACCTCATCTCGTACTGCATCACAGTCATATCTCCCTGTCGCAACTGCTCGAATTGCCTGCGCAGCTCCTCCCTGCGGGATTGTGGCACATACTTCTCCAAAAGGAGAACGGAGAACTGCTGCCAGGTAAGGGGCGCCGCACCAACAAGCCTACGCCTCTCATAAGCCTCCCACCAGGTGAAGGCAGCTCCAAAAAATTGAAAAAAAGTAAACGCAACCCCACTGGTCTCCAGAACACCCGCGGTGCGAGGAATCCTCTGATACCTATCCAAGAAACCCTGGGCATCCTCTCCCCCTGTACCACTGAAAGTCGGAGGCTAAAGTATACCAAACCTCTCCAATCTACGATGCTCGTCCTCTGGCATAACCGGAGTTACATAACCCTGAGCAGCTGCCACCGGCTGGGCTGGTGGTGCCTCCGGTGTCTGCAATCCCTAAACAACTTGCTCGGGTGTGCAGGCGGCGGGAGTCTGAGTGCCTCCCCTGGCCTGAGAAGTGGCTGCGGTAGTAGAAATTACGACCGCCTGAGCAAGACTAATGCATACGGTCAAGATCTGAGCCAAGGTCTCCTGAAGACCTGGAATGACAATAGTCACAACCGGTGCCTGAGCTGGTGCTGCTGGAGCATCCACAACTGGGACCTGATCCAGAACTGGGGCTGCTGGTGGATCTGCAAGTGCTGCCCTAGCTGTTGTGCGGGCTATACCCCTGCCCCTACCACGGCCTCAACCGCGTCCTCAGCCTCTAGTGGCCCCAGCTGGTGGTACTAGTGGTCGTCCATGCCGACCAGTAGCGCGTGTCCTCACCACCTGTGAGAGAATAGATTAATAGAAGTTTAGTACTAGAATCAACAAATTCGCACGACATGAATTCAAGAATATGAAGTTTTCCTAAATGTTCTACAACCTCCCGAGGATAAATACAGACGTCTCCGTACCGATCCGCGAGACTATACTAAACCTGCTCATGACTCGTGAGACCTATGTAACCTAGGCTCTGATACCAACTTGTCATGGCCCTAAAACGAACCCGGTCGTGATGGCACCTATCGTAAAACTAGGCCAGCCGACACAAACCCCAAAACCAACCCAACAATTATAATAAGTCATTTAAAAGTCATTAATAAGCTAAAGTCCCAAAATGTAAGGTAGAATAGAACAGTGCGAAAACAAAACACAGCCCGACATCGGGGTGTCACCAGTCATGAGCAACTACAACTCGTCTACAAACATGAAAAGACAACATAGTCTAAAACAAAGCTAATACAAAGCGGAATAAAGATAGGAAGGAGAAGCACTGGGCTGCGAACGCCAAACAGCTACCTAGTCAACTCCGAAAGCCTGCTGGAAGACAAATCAGCACTCGCTAGCGTGACCCGAGACTCCTGGATCTTCACACAAGGTGCTGGGAGTAATGTGAGTACGCCAACTCAGTAAGTAATAAAAGTAAAGGCAACTAAGCGGTAAGAAAACACGCAAGCCACGTCATAATGCTACAGTAAAACAGTATAAATCCAGAACAATGCAATAAAAACAATGAAACTCGTGAAAACGACTTAGTTCAATAAAATCCTTTTTAAAACTTCCTTCAATAGTTTCAAACGAGTGACGAAAAACAGCGAGTAAAAGAATAGAAACGTAAACATCCCCTCGGGAAAAATACCAGCAGAAACCAGCCCCTCGGGCTACCTCACAGTCACTCGTAATCAGCCCCTCGGGCAACAACAAGAAACAACAACAGCCCCTCGGGCAATATCACATCTCACACTGGGTACCCGCGCTCACTGGGGGTGTGCAGACTCCGGAGGGGCTCCTACAACCCAAGCGCTAGAAACAAACAATCTCGTGGCATAGCAAATCAGGCCCTCGGCCTCTCATATATCACGAATCAGTGTAACACGCTGCTGCGGCGCACACCGCGATCCCATAACATCCTCACAACACAGGCCCTCGGCCTCTCTCAGTCAGAACTCACTCAAGCCCCTCGGGCAATAGTAAAACATGATGCTCAGCCCAAAATATTATTTAAAATATTAAAACATAATAAATACGATTGAGTTATGAAAAACAGTAGAATACAACATGACTGAGTACAAGTATGAAGTCAAAACAGTGAGGAATAATAGTAAAAAGCCCCTAAGGGTCCAAAACAATCGACACATGGCCCAAACACGACATTCAGCCCCAAACATAGTAATACTTTCCAAAATATAATAATAGTTTCCAATTAAATACACGATCCCCAATGGTGCATGACCCCACGCTCGTCATCTAGCGTGTGCGTCACCTCAATCTAGCACAACGATGTGAAATCCGGGGTTTCATACCCTCAGGACAACATTTACAATTATTGCTTACCTCAATCCGGTCCAAATTTTAGCCCGCGATGCCCTTGCCTCTCGTATCGGCCTTCGAATGCTCCAAATCTTTCCAAAACCAGAATATACTCATCAATATACGATAAAGGAACAAAACCCACTCGAATTAACCAATTTACACCAAGAATCCCGAAATTGACCAAACCCGACCCCCGAGCCCACGTCTCGAAATCCATTAAAAGTCACATCAATAGAATCCTTACACTCTCACGAGTTCGTACATATCAAATATACCAAAATCCGACCACAAACGACCCCTCAAATCCCTAATCAAATGTCTCACATTTCAAGCCCTAGTTCCTCAATTTCAACCACTAATTTCCATAAATTTCAAGCTTAAACAGATAAAAACCAACATAGAAATAAGTTTAGGGTCCAAAAACCTTACCTCCACGAAATCCTCTTGAATTCCCTCTTCAATTTGCTCTCCCAAGCTCAAACCCGTATGAAAAATGGTGAAAAACCACTCAAAAATCGCGAAGGGCTAAATTTATATGTTCTGCCCCAGCTAAACTGCTTATGCGGTCGAAATATCGCACCTGCGGTCCCAAGTGTGCATCTGCAGAATCCACTTAATCGCTCAGGGACCGCACCTGCGATCAAAAAAAAATCTCGCACCTGCGCCATCGCAGGTGCGCTCGGACGTCCGCTTCTGTGATTCCAGCTCATCTCGTCCAGTTCTGCATCTGCGACCCTCCCTGCGCTTCTGCGGGCCCACACCTGCGGTCCCCAAGCCACAGGTGCGATTAAGACCGGAACTTCAGCAGCTTCAGCTGCAAATTTCCAACTCCAAACTTCCCGTCAACCACCCGAAATCATCCCGAGGCCCCCGGGACCTCAACCAAAAGTACGGAAAAGTCATGTACCACTATCC